GGTGGTGGAGGTGGTGGTGGTGGTGGTGGTGCTGACACCTAAGTGGAACGAACAAAGGAAGAATGAGCCAGGGGTGTCAGGGACGCGGGAGGCGGGGGGTCAGGGGCGAGGAGAGACTTCAACCGATCGGTTCCACTTACCCAATCGTCGTCGTCGGGAGGACCGGCGGAAGACGGTGGTGGTGGCAGCCGTGGATCCATGATCTGTAAGTAAACCCCATGGTAAGAATGAGCGTGAGGAGGAAGCAGGGGCGAGGGGGACATTCAAACCATGGACTCCACTTACCCGACAAACGCCAACACAGGCGTCGAAAATGGGCCAGACCCAAGTCTTGTTGGCAGTGAGGGCACGTGGGCGTAGGACGGGACGGACTGATGGCCAAGGACGCGTACAAACACGCTTTATGGACCAGCGCGCGGCAACAGGGAGTACGGATGACGGATCGGACCAGTTCCCTCGCACACAGAAGGCACCAATCAAAAGAAAAAGGCCATACCATTTCCAAGACATCGCATGAAAGATCGGTTTGAGTCGACTGGGAGAGAGAGGCCTTTTTATGGTGTGTGAGGAGGGGTCTCATGTCACTAGACCCCCCTCTAAGAAAAGCCCCAAAGAGGGGGGGATACCCCCCATCCCCCCTTCTTTTGGGGTGGGTCGAGAGAGCCCGGGACCTAGGGAAGAGGTGGGTATATAGAGAGCAGGGGAAGGCCCGGTTCATTTTCACTGCAAATTGTCGGTGAGTAGTCCCATCAGGCTCATCGGCCCTTTGTTGTTCTTGTTTGGTTCCTGTTACTGTGACACCGACTAACTACCCATGTCGTCGCATCTGAAGATTGTAGGCAACGAGGCTAAATGTTTTTGTTCTGTCCACCAAGGGGCGGATATCGCCAGAGGTACGTTGGAACGAGTTGTTCACCCTTACCCTCTACGCCACGCGCACACCTGGCCGCGAGCACCTTGTCATTGTGTTTGGTTATTGTGCAGGGTCTTTGTGAGGGTGCAGTCGCAACCGACCAATGTGCATACGTTTTTGAAGACGCGAGAGCGTGGAGGGCCTCACCCCGTGCTGGACTATGCCGAGTGTTACGACCACAGCGGGTGGGTGTGCGATTGCCATTATTACGGGATCGGCCGAACCGTGCCGCCCGACTCGGACTGAACTCTTTGTTTTTTATGGTTGCAGATGGCGTACGTATCGAGAGCGAGAGTCAGGAACAGTGCGAGTGGATGTATCGTATGTTTTCGCACTATTCCTTGCCGTACCCTGCGTCATGGTGTTTCACCCTGTTGAACAAGGAACTCCCCGCGCTGCTCAAATGTTTGACCACGGGCAATTCGGAGCAAGTGAGCAAGAGACTGTTGGGCATTTTCACGTACTTGACCAAATGGGATCCCAAGACCCAGACCCTGCCGCCCCCGGAACCGATCGAGTTACGGGCCATGATCTGTTGCGGTCTCACCAAGGAGATGTTGCCTTTACCGACGGCGATCAAGATCCACCCTGCCTTCGATTTCTTGAAGATCTTGTTAGCTGAAGCCGAGATCGTGCCCGATGAGGCCCTTTGTGAACGACCCGTGTTTAAAGTGTACGGCCGGTGTGACGAATGCCAGAGATTGTTGCGTCAATGCCCGACGAAAAAAGACGTGGGGTTGGGTCCCACCGAAGTCATGTACGTCATGATGCCCGCCGAATGGACAGAACCGGTGGATTGGGAGGGATGCTCCGAACGAGCCTAGGATGGGAACCAGGGACAATCTTCAAGTGTGACGTGATGTAAAACAATACTGAGATGTAAACCGTACATTGACAAAACAAAAATGTAAAGTTTATTTCGGTCCTTAGAACTCTACTTTACATAAACCTCTTCCTTAGAAAACGTGTAAGTCTTTGCCTCAATAGACCTGTTACAGTTTCAATTTGGGTTTGGCTTGCATGATTTTCTTGACGATGGCTTCGGTCCAGGTCTTTTTCCCCGGGAGGGCTTGGATGGCGCGAATCATCTTGTCGTCGGCTTTCCACTTGTCTCGGATATTGCGCGCGTGAGAGTAATCAATGTCGTGTTGTTTGGCAATACGGTCTAACCGGTTGATGCCGGGATCCCCGCGCTTCAGGCGTTTCTCCAAATGGGTGCCCGGCCCCATGTATTGGTACCCCGGCCAATGAAATTCGATGCCCGTCTTGGCCAACCATTTTTGCACGTCCAAGCCCCGACCGACCATGCGACGGCGGCGGTGGCCACGGTTGGACGCGCGCCAGCGGCGGCGTCTAGTAGTCCCTGCCATGGAGTTTCCGTTGGACTTTCTCCCCCCACTCGCTCCAACCGGGTTGACGTTTCAACTTGAGCACTTCCTTGGCCAGTTTCTTGCCCTCTTTGGCCGCCTGTCCAAATCGGCTGGGTTGCTTGACGGACAAAGGGGGTCTCGTCACCGAGAGAGGAGACTTGCCTTTGCTCAACGTGGCACTGCCTTTGCTCTTGGACGTGCTGGGGATGGGCAACGCCAATTCCTCTTCCCAATCGTCGTCCGGTAACGGCAACGAGATGGGTGTCTTGGTCGAGAATTTCGGCTTGGGTGGGAGTTTCGGCTTGCGTGTGGGTGTGGCCTTGGGTTGGGGAGTGCTGCTTTTTATAAGCGTTTTCAAGAAGGTCTCCATGGGTCCTTGAGCAAACTCGTCGTCGTCCTCGGCGCCCGCCGCCCCTCCGCCCCCCGGCAAAGTCATGGTCCGCACGCGTTTGGTGGCTCGACGCACCTCGGGTCCCAGGGTCTTGACGCGGATCTTCTTGGTGGCCGGCGGGATGTCGGGGGAGGCCAGTAAGACGTGTTGTTTGGCCGCCAACCGCGCGGCATGCGTCAACCTCGAATTCTCCATCAACGTGCCTTTGTATTGTTCCACCAACCCCTCCATGTCCGCCGGGGACACCAAATATTTTTTCTGGTACGGTCCGTGGCTCATCCTGTCAGGCAATGACGACACACGCGATCCAAGGTGTGCCACACTCCCGCCCCGGTTTGAGCCATCATGACCTGCCGTCGCCGTTTTATGGAATGTTGTCGACGCGCCATCTCGCGCAAGGCCTGCTTGTGCGGACGCAATTGATCCAAGAGTCGAGGCGGGACTTGGACATTGCCTTTCAAGGTGTTCATCACCAATTCACTGATGGCATTGACTTGATCGGCATTGGCATGCTGTAAACGTTCCCGTCGCACGTGCTGGTCGGCTTCTCGCAACACGCTCCGCAAAAACGGCAGTTGTCGTCGAAGGCGTCGTACCATGGTGTCCTCTTCCCTTCTCAACGTGCCAAGGGGGTCTTTATAGGGTTACCGGACGACGAGCCCTGGCCATCCACGACGCATGTTGGCGACCACGCGCCGGTTGGCCGCCCGCTGCGCGGGGGTCAGTTGTCGTCTCTTGCGCGTGGCCGCAGCCAATCCTTTCTTGACCCCGTACCCGGCCGCACCACTCACCGCCCCGGCCGCAATGGCTTTGCCGGCCGCGAGGGCTAGAGGCACGAGAAAGGGTAAAATCCCCCCTCGTTGTCGTCGTCGTCGTCTCCGTCTGCGTCGGACCATGATTCGATGTGACGGAGTCAGACACCGACTCTGTTTTTATAGGCGCTCATCATCGTCTTCCTCTACGGTCGAGGGCTTTCTCCACGCCATACCCTACCCCGCCACTAATGGCGCCCGCCGCCGCGGCCTTGGCGGCTAAGAGGCCTAGAGGAATGAGAAAGGGTAAAATCCCCCCTCGTTGGTAGTGTCGGCGTCGATAGCTGGCTCTTTGTCGTCGTCGTCGGACCATGATGCCATGTGATAGGGTCACTCTCCCGTTCTGGTCTCTTTTATAGGCCCACATGATGGGACAGTTGAACGATTCCCCCGCGTACTTTTTTCGCTTGCCACTCTCCACCTCGGCTCGTCGTTTTCGGCTCATCTTTTCGGCGTTTTTCTGTTGGCGCTCCCCGATGGCTTGGGTGGTCTTATGGGCCGTCTTGAAGATCCCCGTGATGAGCGCCGGCGACACGCCGCCTCGTTGCGATCGTCGTCGACGGGTGCGTCTTTTCCGTCGTGGCATCTTGGTGTTTGACCGTCCCAGGGCGTCTCCGTGCATTTTTAAACCGTGTTGGGGGTGGACAAACGCGAGGACGTGCGATAGACTTCGGGTTCTCCTCCATCCTTGTAGACCGTGGTAATGGTATTGGTGTGCGTGATGCCGGCAATGCGGCGTCCCACCGAACGTTGACGGGCATCTTCAGCCAACAGATCCATTTGACGTCGTAATTCGTCTTGATTCATGCACGCTCGTCGAGGGGGTGTGCCGCGACCACGGCGTTAACCACCGCCACCGCCACCACCGCCGCCGGGCGGGCTGCCATCGTCATCGCCATCCCCGCCGGGCGGGGCCCCACGGCGACCCCGGCCTCGACCCCGGGGCGGGGGTCGACCGCGCCCTCACAGCGTCCCTCGCGGAGCCGGGGGTGGCGATGGAGGTGACCGTGGTGTCATGGGACGGTTGACGATATAATCGGTCAATTGATTGTTGTCGAGACCCACGGACTCCAACAGAGCATCGATCTGCCTGGCCAGAAAATCGCCTCGGGCAATCCGTTCCATGACCTCGATTTGCCGGGGACTGAAGGTGGGCGACGGCAAGTCCTGGGCCGCGGCCCGGATGGTCGTCACGCTGGGCACGCCCGACCTCGAAGACGACCCATTGGGCGCGACGCCCACCCCAGCCGGGGGGGCCGTGGGCACGCCCGCCATGTCCATGGCCCGCTGCAAGGCATCCCGCACCCCATTGGGCGTGACGAGTGGGGACCGTCCGACTCCCGCCGACAAGGGCGTGGTATGTCCTTCCAAGCGTTCCGATAAGTCCCGTTGCTGTCCTCCCTCGCGTTTCCGTTGAACCCGCGCCTGTTGTCGGGCCAGTTCGTTGTCAAACGACAATTGATGGTAATCCAGGTCGTCCCGAAACTCGTCCGACGAAGGGGTCGACCGTCGACTCATGCTTGGCGTTCATAGGTTTCCGTCGGTCCTTCCTCCGGCAACACGTTGGTGAACAGACAGTACCGATCGTCTGACGCGGGATGCAGGTCCAGCATTAAATAGCCAAACGGGCGTTGAGCGCATTCGCGAAAGATGTTCATCACGTGCGACCAGTCGTTGGGAAACGCTTGCAACGTCAAGGTGCGCATGCCCACTTGATCCCGAGGGTTCTTGAACGCCACGATGTAATGCGCGTTGCGCGAAATGGTCTTGGCGAATTTCCCGGGCGGGAAGAGATCTTGGCACAGGAACAGGACGCTGATGTTCCAATGATGCGAGTGCTTGGAAAACAGATCCACGCGTCCACGTGGATTTCCCGCAACCCGACGGGCCGCCGACCAGGGTGTTTCAGGGATGACGAATCATGTCGTCACCATGGCGTGCAATCGCGGCGAAGCCTCTTTTATCAGGGTCAGCGTGGTCTCGACCACGGCGGTTTCCGGGCACGCGTTCAAGGCCCGGGTCAACCCCGACCAATCGCCGGCCCGGGTCAATCGACGAAAGGTGTTATAGTAGCGATAATCCCACGTGTCGCATAACGCGTCCACGGGATTGACCAGGAGTTCCATCAACACGCGTTCGTCCAAGGCTTCGAGGACACGTCGTACATCTTGTCACGTAATCATGGTGTTGGGTCCCCCAACAAAAAAAAAATCACGTCGCCGCGAACGCACCGATGTTTTTATGGCGCGCCCGCGACGACGTGGCATGGAACCTATCGGACTCGAACCGATGACCCACGGCGAAGCCGCTGCTCTACCCACTGAGCGAAGGTCCCTTTTTGAGTACGGGGCCACGTCCGCGGCCAGACTCGGTCAGGTGGGTCAAGGGTAGCACTATTTTTTAGACACCGGACGTGCCAACCACCGGCCGGGAAAGAACCCTTGAGGTCGGACCGACCGCTCGCGCGGACGTCCCCCCGCACCCACTCCCACCCTGACACCCGTCCCCTTTATATCATCGTCCTTTCTCGAAGTCTCCCCCTTGTGGGACACATAAAAAAACACACGTTTCATTTCAAGACTCGTTTAATGAAGGAAAGATACAACGTCGAGAGACACAGCGTTGCGCGTCCGGTCGTCCATCGGGTTCGTCGTTCATGGCCGCTTCGTCCAGTTTGGTCTGGATCCAGTCGCGGACCCTTTGCCCCACGCGATGATCGTTCCACACGTAATCGCCGTCTCGAAAGCTTTCCACAAACTCCAGCAGGGTCCGTCGACGCACGCGGTCTTGCAGGTACACAAAGGCATAATGGCCACAAACCCGACTGTCGTAGGCCTGCAACGTCCGGTCGCTACGCACCACGTACTTCCAATGCTTCGCGATCCATTCGTGAAATCCCGGGGCGTCGTAGACGGTCAAGGGCAACCCGTAACTGTCCATCAATCAATCAATCAAATCAATCAATCAATCTTTATTTAAACACGGTAAAATCCATCAGGAATTTAAAAATTAAAGATAACCTAACTATCCTAAACAAAATTCAAAACCCAACTACAACTAATCTAACTAAAACCTGTTTTTCATGAATGCCGTGTATAACATTAAAAATGAACATTAACTAATCTTTTAAATTGACTAAGAGATTCGGCTTCTCTCACCTGACAGGGTAGGCTGTTCCAGAGAACTGCTCCGCTATAAGTAAAGCTGTTTTTCATGAAATTAGTTCGCGGAAATGGGACAAATAGTTTGTTAACAGAGTCCCTCAGGGAGTAACGCGTTTCATTTCGTTTAACAAACTTAGATGATAAATATTCAGGAACAAGGCCATTTAAAGACTTGTATACCATTATGGATTTCTGTATTTGAAATTGAGTGTTCAAGTCTTTCCAATCGAGTTGTCTAATCAAACGGTTAGCATCAGCATCATAGCTAGAGAAGGTTAAAACGCGAGCGGCACGGTTCTGAAGCTTCTGTAGCCTGTCAAATAATGTTTTACCACAATTACCCCAGACAAGATTGCAATAATCGAATTGAGATTGAATTAGTGAGTTGTATATATAGTGAAGGGTAGGTGGAGGGACAAAAGGTCTAATTCTTTTTATTGCTCCAATTCCGGAAGCGACCTTTTTAGATAATTTATCAATGTGTGTTTGCCACCGTAGATTTTCATCAATAAATATTCCAAGCGATTTGACAGAGGAAACGTGTTCTATCGGAACATTATTAATCGAGAGCTCAAGTGGGTTCGACAAAGTACTCAATTTTTGTCTGGAGCCAATTAGCATGAATTCAGTTTTAGAAGTGTTCAAAGTAAGTTTATTAGAAATAAGCCATTTGTTTAGGTTATCTAAATCGTGACTCAGAGTTAACTGTATTGAATTCACATCAACGCCAGCATAAGTAATGTGGGTGTCATCGGCATACATTCTAGGCTGGCACGAAGTAAGGCAGTTTGGCAAGTCATTAATATAAATAAGAAATAAAAGGGGGCCAAGGATTGTTCCTTGCGGTACCCCACATTTAAGAGAGCAGATTCTAGAAAGAGAACCGTTAACAAGACATCGTTGTGTACGATTAGTTAAATACGACCTAAACCAATCAAGAGCTGTACCTTGTATTCCGTAAAGGTTCATTTTAGCTAGAAGGATATCGTGGTCAACGGTGTCGAAAGCCTTTTTTAAATCGAGGAAAACCACAGCATTAACATTGCCACGATCAATATTAAAGGCCCAATTATCCGTAGCTTCCAGAAGGGCAGTTGCAGTTGAGTGTAACGAGCGAAAACCCGATTGATAATTAGAAATGATATCTTCATTGGTCAAAAAGTTATACAACTGATCATAAACAATCCTTTCAAACACTTTAGCTATAACGGAAATGACTGAAATAGGTCGATAATTATTCAGATCAGATGGCTCACCTTCCTTGAACAACGGAGTAACTCTAGCACATTTCCAATCATCAGGAAATATACCAGAGACTAAAGATTTATTAAAGAGATCACATAGTGAAACTGAAATAAGATCAGCACATTCACGTACAATTTTAGCAGAAATATTATCAAGACCAGTTGCTTTAGATCTACATAATTTGTTTAGATGTGAGAAAACAATGCTGCAGTTAGTCGAGGAGAAGCTGAAATTGTTGTTATTTACCTTTATATTATTGATATAACTTGAATTATTTTCAGCAGTTAGAGGTATTTCATTAGCAAGTCTGGGCCCAATTGTTGAAAAATGGTCATTAAAAGCATCAGAAAGCTCACTAGAATTAGAGATAATGGTATCATTCAATTTCAGTTCCTTCACCGTTGTATTATTCACACGACGGGATGTAAGCTCATTAAAGGTTTGCCACGTTTTTCGAGGATTACCCTTAGATTGAATAAATGCATTAGAATAATAAGATGCTTTAGAAATTTTGATGTCATTGTTTATTATATTTCGCAACTTTTTGTACCTTTTCCAATCGTGTGGATCATTCGATGTAATTGCTTTTCTTTTGGCAGCATCACGATCACGCATGCCTTTCTTTAATTCTGAATTGATCCAGGGTGCTTTATTTGTTCTAGTACGTCTAGTTCGGAGTGGCGCATGAATATTAACAATATCCAAAAACTTCGTTTTCCAGTTAGTCCACAAAACATTTGGATCTTCAGAAACATTACAGGACCAGTCTTGCTGGGCGATATCGTTCCGAAAACTCTCTCTATTAAAATTTTGGAAATTTCTATAAGAAATGGTTGAGTGCCCTTTTGAAGGAAAAGTGAGAGATAATTTCCTATAAACGTAAATAAGGCTATGATCGCTGATACCAATATGAGAGACTCCGGAACAGACTACCCTGTCAGTATAGTTTGTATAAATTAAATCAATTAATGTTGAAGAGGATTCCGTTATGCGAGTAGGTTCAGTTATAAGCTGTTGAAGCCCAAATAAATCAGAAATTTCACATAAGCGTCGAGTATTTAAATCATATTGTGCAGAGGCCAGGTTACAGTTTAAATCACCTAGCAGATAATATTCTAGGCCGAGGGAATCTAATTTCTCAAGAAATGATTCGTAAGGTAAAAATAAATCAATTGAGGAGCAAGGAGGTCTGTACCAAGTGGCTATCAGAAATGGCCTGGAGTTTGGTTTCCGAATCTCTATACATAAATTTTCAAGACTGGGTGCATTCAAATCAGAGCGAACTCCAAAATTAATCGAGGTTTTTATATAAAAACCTACTCCTCCTCCTTGTCTGTTTCTATCACGACGAATAAATTCATAGCCTGGTATTTGGACCTCACAACTATTGATAGAGTCATCAAGTTTAGTTTCATTAATTGAGAGAATATCAATGGAGCGATCGGCAAGGAGAATTCTTAGTTCATCAATATGCTTTGTAAGACTATTAATGTTTAAACCTGCAATTTTAAAACCACGACCAGAAGGAAGAAAATCAGAGAGAATTGTACTTTCAAATGAATCATCACTTCGCACACCCCGTTTTCCGTCCAAAGGCCCAACCAATGCTGGCCGGGTTCGCCGGCCGGGTCCGTGTTGACGATGTAGGCGCCTCGGGTGGTCTTGGGTGGGTGCTCGGGCAATCGATCGGAGGGATAGACGCCTTGGAACACGCGCTTCAAGTCGGGGTCCAAGAGCGCCAAGGCTCGCAATTGACGATCGCTCAACGCCACCAACTCCATCGTTCGACTAAGGAAGGGATCCCGTTACACGCTGGTATCATATGTCACGGCGCCCAGGTGATCGATGTAGATGGTGCTTTCAAATTCTCCCCACACCAAAATGGTGATGTTGGCATTCAGGGCCGCTCTGAACTTGATCTCCAGACGCACGTTACCGGTCTGCTTGGGATTGAGTTTGGGGCCATCCGCGTCCCCGCCAGGCACGTTGTTCCACATGAACAGGGTACAATTCTTGTTGTACCCCCACTCGTCCGGTTTGACCATGAACTCACGATGTTTGGGCACGGCCCCAGCGGCATCCAAGAACCGATAATACCCCATTCGATCCTTCGTGGCCGCGTTGCCCTCGAGTTCCATGGTGACGTACGGGTACTCTTCCCCCTCGATAAACTGTCGCACGGACGTCACCCCTTTGCTCTGGAAGGAAAATGGGTACTTTTCCTTGGACCCATTGAAGGCCGTGCTGTCCAAGATCCCCACGATCATGCGTTGAGGCACTTTTCCCAAGAACAAGTTATCTTGCTGCCACGTGGTCGTGGTCCCGTCGAAGGTGAAGGTGCGAATCTGATCCCTCACCACCGGGTACTTGACCACCTCTTTTCGGAACTTGCGTGCCCCTTCCAGGGACGAGTAGATATCCGGGTTGAGACTCAATCGGCAAAGGTGAAAGGTGATGTCCACATCTTGTTCTCGCAACTGCACGTACCGCTTGACGCCGGTGCCACTGGTCAGCGTGCCAAAGGTGTAGAAATCGGGACTGTTGAAGTACAACTCAAAATTCATTTCCACCCCGGGCACCATGATCTTGCCCGTGTGGAAGGCGGGCAAGTACGGTCGCATGATCAAACGGACCACGGCATTGTCCCGGAAAGGGGTGGTCAGGGTCTTGAGCAGGTGACTGCTATTGTGCAGGTACCCAGCCGTGGTACAGATGTCGTCGTTGCCGCCCGTGGCGGCCAGCGTCGGGGTCACGTTCAAGAAATTGACCCAGCCTTGCGGTTGCAACACCGTCTCTCCATCGTCGCGGTGGTAGTTGAGCAACGTCTGGAAATAGGCCGAGTAGGCGTACGTGTCGGTCTGTTCGGTCATCAGGGTGCCATTGAACCGCAAGTTGATCTGCTTGAAGAGGGTGTGGGCCAAGTTGTTGACGGCGTACACGAACCGGGTGTCGTTGGCATCCGAGGCGGCATTGGCATCGGCCGAGATGCCGTTGGTGGCCGACGTGTACAAGTGCAGGTCGATAACGAAATAACTGCGATTCAAATCCGTGTAATCTTCCAATTGCTGCACCGAGAACTTCATGGGCGTGATGCTGCTGCTCAATTTGTGGTAGGGCACCATCCGAAAGCCCTGGAGATTGTAGTCGGTCGAAGGGACCGAGAAAAGGTCCAAACTGCTACTCATGATGCCGAGGAGGAGGAGGACTGCGTCTCATCGTCGGCGGCGTCGTCGTTTTATATACTGGGTCAAGTCGTACCCTGGCGGTTTGGGCACGTGAGGACTGATCCATCCTCCTCGCTGGGTGCGACTTGCCGGGCCAACAACCATTTGGTCAAGTCGTAGCCCGGGGGTTTGCTTACGTGAGGACTGATCCATCCTCCTCGTTGTCGCCCAAACGGCGACGGCACGCTTCGTTGATAACGAGGCCGCGATTGGACCACCAACCGTCGTGGACGGACCATCTCTTACACGCCTAGCACGTCGCGGATGCGTCCCACTGTGTTCCGATACCCTTTCTTAGCAGCCGATGTCGCCGATCGCTTGGCCACTGTTCCGGCAATATGAAGGGCCTTGCGTTTCACCCCTCTTTTTATCTCTTGACCCACGGCTCGTGCCACCCCGCGCCACGACTGTCCTCGGGCGCCCGCCCGCGCCCCGGCTTGCACGGCACTGGCCAGAATGGGTCCGCCCAAACGATACAGATCCTCTCGAAGTCCTCGTCCATCCTGCGGTGGCAGGGGTGGTGGACGGTACCGCGTCAGACTGCCTCCCCACATGATTTGACACGTTCCCCCGGGGCACGCGCCTTTTTTATACGTCTCGTTGAAAGACGAAGGTGATCAGGGTGCGTCCCCCACCGAACTTGACCAGACCCCCGTGACTCTCGGCGATTTCCACCTCCACGGTGTCCATGTACTCGCGCCGACACGGTAACCACTGAATGTGCACGGGTTCGTAGTACGCCACGCCTTTGCCTTGGCGCCGGTACTCCACTTCGCGCACCATGGCATGCTGTTGGCCGCCGACGATATTGCTGTCCACCAGGTCCGAGTAGACCAGGAAGGTGCGCGAGGGTTCACCCACCACCTCTCGGAAAGCCACGTTCAAGTTGACGAAACGCCAATTGATGACCTGACTCAACTGCAAGAGGTCGCTTTCTATTTTCCAAAGGTCGTGGTTGTCCAGCTCCGTGTTCTTGACATCTTTGTAATAATTCCCCGCCTGCTGCGTCTTGTAAAGGAGTTCGTAACGGAGATTGGGTCCCAAGGTGTACTTGTCCTTCCCCGTCTCCACCAGCCACCCCATCAACTTGGCGAAGCTGACATGCACATGCCATTGCACGAACGACATGCCGGTCGTCAAGGCGATGTCGTTCAAGTCCTTGGCCAGCATGCGCAGGTCCTCGCCGTCCCATTCGTACGTGACCCGAAACTTGTCGTACAGTCGTTTACTCTTCTGTTGGGCGCTTTCATCTCGTAGAACTGCACTTTTCCTATGAGGACTTTCATCAGACTCACCCCATCCACCACGCCGGGATCGTTGGTCACATCCTTGATCTCGATCTTGGTTTGCAGGTGAAACGGGATGTCGTCGTCCCTCAAGTTGTTCGCCAACTTGGCGCCCACCACGAGCACGCGTGGGTTGACGGCATTCACGAGTCTCGCCAAGTCCAAGGCGGCATTGGGGGTGGAAATGGCCGCCAGCCCGACCTTCCATCCTTCCCCCTTCAATTCCAACGGCACGGGCAGACGCACCTTGAACGAACTGGTGGAGTTCTTGGGAAACTCGGTCGTCGGATCGCTGACCAACACGATGCGATTCATGCCTGGAAATGCAACGTCACTTGCGTCTCTCCCGCCGGGTTCAAGGTCAACAACTGACCGTTCGTCTCGGCCACTTCCACTTCGAGAATCTCCACCGTGTCTCCTCGCACCCGGTGATACTGCACGTGTTCCGGTTCCCACCGGATGGGTTGATCTTTATAGGGCAGGTCTCGCAAGAAATTGGTGATCTGCGTGCCCACGATGCTACTCTCCCCCACGTTGCAGTACAGATGCACCGGCCGCGTGGCCTGCTCCCCATGCGTCGAGGGCGTCACCGTGGTCTTCTTCTGTTTGTCTTCACTCCCCTTATGCGTGGGCTTGGTGGTCGTTTCTTTAGTGCTGCTGGACGACGTGGTGGTGGTGCTTCGCCGAATGACCGGATGATCGTCGTACACGTCGTTCACTTGATCCATGCGAGGCCACGGCGCCGCGATGGTGTACCCGTAGACCACCACGTAACATTGATCCGTCAACGTGGCCGGATACGAGGTGGGCACGCCGTCGATGGTCACCGTGAGGTACAGCCGCGACGTCGAGTCCGACTCCTGCGTCAGCCGGAAATCTTGCACGAGACGGTGGTAATACACCCAGGTATTCGTGCACGTGCGTCGTCACTGCCGTGTCTGTCAGCTGCACGTAGAAACTACTCGAGGCACTCACGCGCGTCTTGTCAAACAAGACCTTGTCGGTCGTGTAGATCTCCACCACCAGTCTATACGTGGACGCCTTGCTCAGCTTGGTGGTGCCTATGACCCACCCAAACTTGGGTTGGTACTTGTTTCCACTTTTCGTCAACGTCATGCCCACGGTCTTCTTCTTCCAATAATGCGGGGACCCTTCCAGATTGACAAACCCCAAAGAGCGAATCCCTCCATCCTTGATCCACACGCTCTCGTCGTCCATGATCCATCGAAAGGTATTGTACAGGACCTTGGGAGGGACAAACACGTGGGTGGTGGCCCGAGCATAGGCTTCGTCCAAATTCACAAACTGCCAATCCACCACCATGGCCAAATACACCATGCCTCGGTGCACCTTCACGTAATCCGTAAACGACATCAATTGATTCTTATCCGCGGACGCAGCGACCTTCGGGTTCTTGGGCTGGCTCAACAGGGGGTGCATCAACAAATTGGGTCCCACTGCATACGACCCGTCCTCTTTTTTCACCACCCATCCCATCGTTTGGGCCAACACCAGATTGAACCCCAGGTAAGGGCGCGATTTATTGAGCGACACATTGGTTTTGATATTCCAGATCCACAACGTCGGCACCCCTGCCTCGTCCTTCCATTCGTACCGAGGCGCATAGTCCACCTCGGCGGTACTCAAGTTATAGCCGGTATAGAGTTTCTTCATCGTATCTTGTCGCAACCAACGGAACACTTTTTTCATAAACACCACCCCCGTGGCGGCTTCGGGCATGTCGGCGTCCTCCATGGTACTGGTGATCTCTTGCGTCTTGGTCCCATCAAGGTCCGATTGAATCGTTCCACCACCGACGACTTGGTATCCCCGTAGGTCGAGAAATGATAGATCTTCCGACGCGTCATCAAGGCCTGAAACGTCCGGTTGTAAAACTCTTTGCCGTTGTCCATCTGCAATCGCACGGGGTAGCGTCCTCGGGCGCGTTTCAGGATGCGTTCGAACGCCGCGGCCACGGCCACGCCCGTCTTGGCTTTCAAAGGTTCCACCCACGCATATTTGGACAGCACATCCACCACCGTCAACAAATAGCGCATCCCCCGATTCCATTTCTTCAACGGTTGCATCTCCGCCAAGTCGGCCACCCATTGGTCGTCCATCCCATGCACCACCACCGGTAGGGTAGGGAAACGTCGTCGTCGCGGTTTGTGCAAGGTGTAACTCAACAACCCTTGCAATTTCGCACGGGCACGAGCCGCCGGCACGCCGTGCACTTGCGCCAAACGCGCAACACCCCCGAAACTCCCGCGCAACGAGGGCGTTTCATAGGCTTCCGCCCAACTCACGCGGCGCTTCTTCCTCATGTCGAACGCACGCGCAATAACGACAAGACACAGGCGTCTCTTTCTTATTTTTTTATTGGTTGACACCATCACGACGTGGTTGCCACCAGGCAGGTTCCAACCGTGATTGACGGATCTGGTTCAACCGTTCCAGCTCGTCGGCGGTGAAGACACTGCCGCGCCACACTTTCGGTTTCCCCTCCAACCAATGCTCGCGCAAGTCTCTCAAGACCCGGGGACTCTCGGGATGATGGCCGTCTTCCCCCTCGTACCAGGCGTACGCCAACAGCAACACTTGACGACGTGCTTCCGGCGTGCTGGCCCCTTGATACTCCTCCCAAGCGCCGTGCATCCAGGGGCGATACCGCATCCCCTCGAAAATGCCCGGGGAGGACAGGGTGTTGTACCCATTGTCGCACATCATGAACGCCTTGCACGTCGACACGCCCCGCAGACGGGCGGCCAAGCAGTCTCGTTTAGCCCTGGGTAGGTGGTGGCTGCCGGTCGTCCACTCTTCTCCATCGACGCGACGACGCATCTTGCCCGACAACGGGAGGTTCAACCACAGAAAACAGCGGCAACCTCCATCGCGACAGGTCAAGTACATGCGCTGAGGGTTCTTCTCCGACCCGCTCTTGCGCAACGACAACCGTCGATCGCAAAAACACGTCAACTCGTCCCATCGTTGCCGCAATTCCTCATGCAACTGTTGGGTCACCAAGGTCATCCATTCGTCCACGCGGTCTTGGGGACTGAACACAGGACACGTGTCCCTCGGGCAGTAGACATAGACAAACTCGCCTTTACGTCCCTCGGTCAACGTTTCGTCGGGATGCAACGGGCACATCCACACCCCGGGTCGGTCCACCGGCGCGTACGGGACAGGCTCCGTCTGCGTGGCCTGATCCATCTCGTTCAAGAACCAAGCGGCCAACTCGCCTTCTTCCAACACCTCCGTCTTGTCTTCCAAGGGGTCATCTGCTCGACGTTTCTTGCTTTTGGTACGACCGGTCGGCACGGGCGCCGGACGCGTTGGCTGTCTCGTACAAGCGGCCATGATGAAACTAGACCGCACGAGGCGCCCCCGCGCCGTTTTATACGCCAGTCTCATCACGTGTCACGATGGCGTCACCCACGCCTTATAAGGGTCTAAGTGGTCATGATAGGTCAGGTCGGGCTCCGCCCCCGCGTGCTTACACCTCCCAGGGCGCATGACGGCGCGTGTAATGTCCCGTGGCTCCTTTGGCGCCCATGCGCTTGTAATCTTTCCTCTTCCCCAATTGATAACCGATCTTGGCCGATTTGGCCAGAAGGCCCAACAAACCACGTCCCGACATGGTGATCGGGGGACTGCGGCGGCGCCTTCTCCGTCGGACTCGTCTCATGATTGGCCGGTCGTTCCTCCCCTTGCTCTATAAATACCCTCTCTTCCCTGGGTCCCGGTCACTCGTGCAAAAAGGCCCCGTTCCACGACCCTCACGGCGACGGAGGAGAAAACGCCGTTCGCTAGGCATCATGCCCAAACTCCAGGACTACACGGTCTACATCCCCGACAATCAGATCGCCGACTTGGCCGAACGCCAAGGGATGCGCGTTCATCTCATCACCGGCCCAACCCAGCACGTGCTACGCGAGGCGCACACCGTCTACCTCTTTGGGTCGGTCACGCCCCTACGCGACATGGACGACACCGGCCGCGTGACCGAGCTAGTCTCGTCCATGGGTCAAGACGTGTTGCTGTGTGACGTCACGAGCGGACAATGGTATAAACGCGCCCCCAGCGACCAGACCTTCACTCACCTGCACGCCTCGACCTTTCCGGTGCTTCATCTCATCTACGCAGTGCCGTCTTGGGCGTCCGGTCCCTGCCGCCCCATCACCTGCAACTCCTCTCGCTCTTCCAACGCACCCAAGACACGCTGACACCATGAATTCCGAGTATCATCGCCATCTACGCCTCGACGACTATCGCACCTTGGACGAGTATCTCCGCGAACGCATTCGACGAGGGTTGCAAGCCCATTACGATCACACCGAGATGCTCCTTCACCTGCAAGATCAATACCGAGAGGCCTACAAGCGCTACGTGCAAGACTTGGCGCAACGCGATCGACCCGAGCGATAATCAATAAAAGATCGTTTTTTTTAAACATCTGAGGGTTGATCATTGACTTTTGCAAATGTGGGCGGGACCCCAAAGGGGGTCCCTGTTAAACATTAAAAATGGGTAGTGGGTTCAGCGGGCGGTCTTGGGGCGGCGAGGGCGTAAGCGTTTCAGCCAGTCGCGTTGGGCCCACACGTTGGCCACACGCTGCATCTTTTTTCGAAAGGCCCGCTGGTCTTTCTGGTACTGCCTTTCTTCGTCCTCCTCCTCATTGCCACACTCGTGGGTCTCACCGCAATAGCGGCAGTGGAGAAAAGGCCACTCGCACGCCTGGCCTGGACGGAGGCAGTCGTCGGGACCGAACGTTTTTCGGAATCACTGGTTTAAGCGCGGATCCCTGTCCTCGGTGGCGAACATCCTCCGGATGAGCCTTCGATAAAAATACCCCGTCACGGGCTCCAACTGGTTGCCATGGCGAGGAACGTAAAACCCCTTGAGGTTGATGATGCGCTTGCGATTGGGGCACCGGGGTAAATAACGCATCTCCATACGCACTTGCCACCACCCGTCACAATCGCGATCCTCCACCGTCGCTAATCGATACATTCTCGCAATCAACAATAAAACATCGTTGGGTAACACCGGCAAATCGTCGGGTACCACTGGCAAAGAGTCCGCCATCTTTGAACCAAGACCAACTGCAGACAACATGAGTCGCGACCGGTCCCACCTCTTATACTCTGGGTCACGTGCCTTCCCATCCTCCCCGTTCGACCCCCCTTAAAAAAGAGGGGGGATGGGGGGTATCCCCCCTCCTTTGAGACCCTTCCCAGAGGGGCTTTGCGCCCCCTCCTAGTATTCCATATAAGTCCCCCTCCCATCGACGCTGCACCTCGACTCGGATCATGCTGTTCATCGGACCAGTCATCGTGTTCTCCTTCGCGTTCCTCTGGGTCGCCATCCTGTTACACACCCAAGTGTCCCACTTTCACCACTGTGGCCCCCAAGGCGTTCAGCAAAGACTACCTGCTCGACAAGTTAGACGAATTGCAGTTCCTCCGAGAAAACATGCACATCGAATTAGACTGGTCGTACGAATGCAGGCTCGACCAGTTGACCAAGAAATTGGAGCGCCAGTTGATCGACCCCCACGAGGCGGAGAAGCAACGTCAGCAGTACGAATTCGTCTATACCACGTGCATCCAAAATCTGGAGACATCCCACGAAAACCTGAGCGTCCTGCGAAGCACCGTCCAGTACTTGTGCGAACAGAGTCCAGCCGATCATCCCAGCACCCACGCCCATTTCCAGGACGTGGTGGACAACCTGCAGTTGCAAGAAGACGGGTTCCACAAGGTGCAAGAGCACATCCGCGCCGGCATCTGACCCCAGCACCCAGCACCACCACCACCACGAGTTCGGGTCGACGTTCCCGCCTGTACCACCACCTGAGGATCAGAGTAAACTAGTGACGCCCCACACCACTAAGGTCGGGCACACGTTCCCGCTTGTAAAACCTTAGGGTTCGAGACTTGTGTAATAAACCTCCGTTGAGAAACCTGTGCAAAAAAAAAGCATTTATTTTTTTTATTTTTTTGAATTCCCTAGGGAATCATCACGTGACCGCCCGGGGGGACCTCGATCCCGCCCCAGCCTAGCCCGGGGGTCAGGGCCAACGGGGAACGCCGTTTATCCCCCAAACACCCAAGTGGTTGTAGTGCGCATGCGCCCTCGCCAATTCTCTCTTAGGGTTCCCACATGGACGAGAATTCACGTTCGTCTACCAATATAAGAGCCCTTAGGGTTAGAGTTAGGGTAACAGGGCTATAGGGTTAGGGTTACCCCACCCCAAAGGTTCACACCCCATGACGTCACTTTTACAACACGTCATCACCCCTAGGACGTCATCACCCCTAGGATGTCATGACCACACCCCTCATGACGTCATCCCCTCTTTGAAATTAGATTGACAGAAAAATTTGATTGACAGGTCACATGATCTCGTTCTCCACGCTGATTGGTCCATTTGTACCACGTGACCTAAATCCGGCTTTCTGATTGGTCGAGCCCAGGGTGGCCCCCATTACTACTGTTTCCCCCTCTAACACCTTTTGTCTTTCCTCTATTTCTTTGCA